GCGATTAAAGCTGTTAAAAGATGCATGTCATTTAAACCATCACTGCTTATCGCTGTTTTCTTTCCCATTGCTCTGGCACCGACTGTTTGGGAGCATTGGGAGCAACCGCAGAACAAAAAATCGACATGATCTACATGACTCTACATAATTGGGACACTTTGCTACTGATTAGTGTAACAGGATATGACAAAGTCCTGAAGGCATCCGTTTCGCAATGACTTTGTATGGATACATATGCGGTTATGGCACTTTGTTGACTTACTTGTGGCTTTATGAGAACAGTTAGGTAGTTGTGCACATGGTTCAACTGTGTGAACAAATTACGATGACAGTGATTGAGGGATAAATACACATGATACACACGTATATCTGGACGTTCGCTGCCTTTTTCAGATAGTGACAGTAGATGCCAGGAAATGAGAAGAGCGTGAGATGGGGAATGACATGCAGCAGAGATCCGGCACGTTGTGGTTCATGGTCGGCAGCTTAATTAACCTCCAGTGGGCAACAAGGCCACCGCAGGGAGGAGGTATAATATTGTTGTGATACTGTAGTGTAGACAATTTGTAATTATATAATATCACTAAAAAGCGGCAGGCGGGTTTGGCTGGGAGTCATGCATGAGGGTATAGACTGTGCCTGCTGAGGCGTGGGCTGCCACTGCAGAGCAAGTCCAGGCAGGCGGAGTTGTGTTGACTTTATGGACAGCCATCTTTCACCACCACCGTTAAAATCTAATTACTGCCAGTCATAAGCAGAGGCATTTATGGGCGTTCCATCCTCTGCCATCCAAAGCACAGCCACAAGGGAGTGACAGCATGGATCATGAGGGGAGCTCTGATTGCACCAAATATTATTGTTGCTTTTAAACTGCATATGGAGCAACGCCTCCAGAACTTTTAAAGAGTTGTTTTCAAAATCTGCGGCCTGTTACCCAAAACAAAACAGTCCTTTTTACAGATAGGCATTTTGTGTTGTAGGAAAGAGTCCTGTTTGGGGAAGTCCATTCACCAGGTTTTTAAAACCAACATCCCAGAAAATGGGAAAGAAATTGGGAATTTCCCCTTCCTGATAGAGGAAAAGCAGCTGATAGCAGGCATGAAGTGAGTCAGGCTCAGCGCTTCAGCTGCCTCTGCAAACTTTGGTTCAGACTTGTTGAGGCAGGCAATTATCCCTCCGTTTGATGTGTGTTTGCTGCCGTTTGAGCTCTCTGTTACCGTATGTGGGGTTGCCGGAGTTTGAACTTGCCTGGCCTACGATAAATATAACATTTCCCTCCAGGACAAAAACCCAGATCGTGGTGCACACACTGTGCCATTTTCCGGTAATGCAGCAAAACAACTTGAACCCTGACATTACTGTTAGTGGTTACACATTTGCTGATGACTCTGCCTGTATCTCCAAAATGGTCGGCAATAGATCTAGCATAACATTATCTCGGGCAAAGCATGTTTACCATTTGTTTAAAAGGTTTAGTTACTTTACAGATTTATACTATTAATACATAATATAAATAGGCTAATAGGTTATGATGTATTGCCAGCAGTATACAAAATAATTACAAATAGCCCCATCTTAAGCAGCTGCAACATTAAAGCGATGAACGCATTAATGCATCACTAATTATAATCCAGTAATATAATATATATTATTCTGGGCCATTCTGCATTATGTGTACTTTTACTTTTGGAACTTTAAGTATATTTTGATGTTAATACTTCTACCATCTTTCTACTTTTACATCCTTAACATTTGAATACTTCCTTCACCACTAAAGGTACATTATACTGGAGTTCATAAAATAAACATACTTTTGGCACAATGACTGAATGGGTGCTCTTATGTGGATGTGGGGACATTTTCTGGATCATATCTTGAGGATCTCTGCAAGATAATCAACAACTTCAAACAACTGTTTCATGTTCTCAAATCTAGAATGAAAAAAAGGTTGCTTAGATAGAAATAGATGATAAACTATCTTGCACATTTTACTCTACATTCTTTTCAAATGCACTTTTTTACTGTGCAAAAATGTATTAAACAGAGTTATTCCAACTTAATCAAGCATGTTTTTCTGAACACTGAACAACAATGATTAAGTGCTTAAATCTGCACATTTTTCAAATGTGGGTTCATGTTGTTTCTGAGCAGCATGTGGCTGAATTGAATCCAATGTGCAAATATATGCAATGGGGTTTTTGTTTTGGCTCCTTTATCCCTGCTCCAGTTCTAGTGACTTTGGGATATTATTCAGCCAAGCAGGTTTTTGGAGTTGCCATCAGAAGATCTCAAATAAAAGCGCCATCAGGACCTGTGGGAGAAGCTTAATGAAGTAACCAGATGTGACCTTGGTACCCTTCACCAGATAGCCAGATCACCAGATCACCAGTGAGTACTCCTGCTGCTCAGTTTTAATCAAACAAATCAAAATAGTATTTACCAGCAGGTGGCAGTCTGTCATAAGGACTGTCAATGGCACCAAAAGAGGTTTAGAAACAGAGCTCTGGTTGGGAGAAATGCAGCATCAAGCTTTAACAGCCAGTTCTGTAAGGAAAACCTCTTTTATCAGGGGAAGGGAATAATGCTACAAACCATCTCTGCTCTACAAAAACTTATTTTTCCAAATGAAATCCTATGAACCATTTTTTGCATCTTCTCTTCACTCTGGGTTCACACAGGAGCCTTTGATTCAAGCTGTTTCTCAAAATACCTCCTGAGGCAGAGATTTGATAAGAAAAGGAGATCAAATATTGATGTTCTAATTTTGTAAGCCTGTTTGGTGAATAATTGATTGTTCGGGGAAATGAGTTAGTTTTATTTGCAGATACCCTAATGCTGTTTTATTGAAGACTTTTCACACATGCCGTGAGCCCTTATTGCTGTTTCTGACGTTGAGTGATTGGGATGAAATCGGTCCTGAAGGACTGTAAAAGACATTTGATTGATCTCATAGTTTGTTTCTGTTATAGCATCTTTAGGTTAAATTCACAGCTAAAAATGATGGCAGTTTATCTGCTCTGTGTAATCACTTTGCTATCTTGCAATTGTTTATCGAAAATATGTTTCACATCATTACATCCTAATAGACCGTGTCCAGTTGTTACAGCATGCAAATATTCCATCTGCTGCAAATGTGCATCCACTCATTTCTTTTTGCATCCTTTATGCATATCAGTTTGGACACAGCTGTATGCGATGGTGGATATTGCTCTGGGCTTTACTGTAGAGCTTCTTTTATGCAAACGTTATCCTACAAAGCTCTTCATTGGAGCTGTGTTTCAGCTGTTCCCAAAGACAGATGTTGTGATGGTACATAAAGCATTCTGACAAGGAGTCTTATTTCCTGTTGTGCAGCAGCACAGGGCACAACACTCTTGCTTATTCATGAAGCCTGATCAGAGCCCAGGTAGATCAAACCGCTCCTCCATTTTAAATGAAAAAAGCTCTTTACTGGGACATAAATATCATACGATGCACTTTCTGCTCAGCCTGCCCTGGAAGTGCACAGAGTCTTTGGAGGATTGGCAGGTCAGTGTCGGTTAGATCTTCAGCTAATGTACAGAGCTAAATATTGACTTGAAACATGGTTGAAACAAACCATTGAGAAGAAATATTGATCCAAAAAGGTGCATTTCACCCGAGGGGACAACGACAGGTACAGACATGTGGAGGTCTCTTGCTATCTTGTTATTACAATACTCTATTAGTTTGCATTAATTCCACAACACATCATCACTATAAATCACATATCTTTGGGTATTTCCCTTGCAAATGAGCACCAAGCCTTTTACTGAATCTAATGTAATTGTAATAGTAAATGTGTCACACCATCAAATACAAGGTCACTGCACCCTGAACCTGGTTTTACTGCAGAATATGAATATGAAGTGATGGAAAGAGAGGCCCCTCGCCTTCCCTCGGGATCTGCGGTTAGCACCCACATTAGCCCCAAGGACAGCAGGTCGCTGCAGGGAAAGGTCACCTCTGCTGTTCCATTGGAAAAACAAAGCGCCAGTATTTCCTTTCCTCTTATTTGTAGTTCTTATCTATCTCCTTCGACTTGATATTCAAGCCTTCCCTGAAACTCAGCATCTTAGCAAATGAAACCAAGTCAACATGATGGGAATAGCCCCCAAGACTCAATAAAAAGTGTTTCTCTGTATGTAAAACATTCCTAATATTGAACCAAACTGTTGATTCATAAGCTTTCTGATTAGCACTATATCACATGAACGTGTGCACAAGTCTTGTTTATGTTCTTCTTTGTAGATTAGATAAATTATAACTGAAAGACGAGACTGAAGTGAATCTGTTGACAAGTTGAGAGGCGGAGACCTCGCAGACACAGCAAGAGTAAGCAGTCCTCACTAGGATTAAGTCTTTCCAGGGACTTTATGCCTCGCCAAATATCAAAGGAACTCAGACACAGAGAAGAAAAATGGGTTGTCAGAGCTGTGACAACTCTCGACTGTTATCTAGAGTCACTCACTGCATTATTGCAGCAGTAATGAGAACAGCACTGCCAAGCAAGGTACCAATGGAAAGTTGAGATATCTTTGGCTTAAAGTGTTTTGCAGTGGAATAATTACAACTGAAGAAGCGGTTACTCGCCGAGAGGAGGGAATAGCTAGAAACAACTTTACTATCATTATTACATTTAAAAAAGTAAAAGAATAGTTGCACTGAATTGGTCCGGCAGCAACAATAGCATTCATTTGGAGTATGGTCATCTGAGAAATGTAAGTGCAATAGTCACTCCTCTTTACCAGCTTGACATTGACGCTGGAACTGCTTTGACATTGTAAGTCTGTGCCATTATGGCCAAATGTGGCCCTACACTTTACAGTTCACATCCAGACTCCTGTCTGTGGTTATAGGTTTAGGCAAGAAAGCACAGGTTCGGGAAGACTATGTTTATCATGGCCAAAAGAATCCACGATCACGATATTATCATATCATCAGTAGAAAATAAAAAAAAATAAAAAAAGCTATCAGTCAAATTCATGTTTAACTTTGTTTATTGTGCGTTTTCTCTTTTTTGGCAAATTAATTACACTGAAAATACGAGTGTAGGGAGATGGAGTGAGAGTCTGCAACCATAACTTTCTTATCGTCATTACCGGTATATCGTGAAACTCCTAGTTCAGTATCAACATTTTTGTGACTTGACATGTACTCAATCGAAAGCATATTTTTGGTAGCTTTAGGTTTGCTTCAAAACATATACTGTTGCACATTAGTTGTTTCTTAACATCATTTCTTGGAGACAGAGTTAGACTGTATGCTCAGTAGTCACATTTGCACCAGAGGTCATTCATCTAGCTCTGAAATAATACATCCCAAATATGTATATTTCACTGTTCAATTGGACTCAATACTGTAAACATATCTTAAAAACAGCATTAAGGACATTATATCATACGTTTGTTCATCCTCTTTTTTTCCCTCAAGTGTGTGTTATATACAGTACATCTAGCCTACAGTTTGGTGTGGATTGCATTAAGGTTTCTGTCTTCCGGGCCATCCGAGCATCAAAATGTTGACTGACTGACTGCTCATGCTCCCAACGTTTTTTTGTCAAGACTGTAATAGAAAATACATAAGAGATTGTCAGCCACTCAGGAGAACATCAGTAAACTTTCTTGGCTAGAGCTCTGAGTCTTTACAATAGACAAAACAGAATTACTTTACATTCTCAAAGTGTTTTTGTCATTGGCATTAAACATCATTTCTAATCTACAGATGCCCCAGTTTGACATTATGCAAAATGTTGAGTTTACAGTTTAGTTAAGATACTCACAATCTTCAGGTGGCATTTTCCAGTCCAGTCCGTACTAATTACAAGACTGAATAAGGCCATGGAAGCCACTGTTCCTGGTGGTAAGTTGTGATAATGTTATCAGTCCATGTAATGTAAAAAAGGAAAAACAACTTTCACCAGCAGCTGGCATGGAGGCTGGATAAACACAAGCTTTAAGTGCATCTTGTCTTTCTCCCCCATGAGTAGCTGTCGTCCTGCAGCAGCGAGTCTCCTTCACGCAGCTTCTAAAAGGTTAAAACCAGCCAGTCTATCCAGCTGCTTGTTTCTTATCCCTGTCCATCTCCTCAGTAATGGACCAGGGCTGCCAGATCCACCAGTGGATAAGGGTTAAGGGATTACAAAATCTTTCCATCTGCACACAAGGCTCCTTGCTGCAAAAAGCTCGCCCATAGTGCCACTTGCTCTACCACTGTTGTGCGATAAAGACCCTGAAGAAGAGATGAGCGTTCAAAGTTGTGCTGCTGTCGTCTCCTATTTACATTATTACATTCATATTCTTCAGCTACTGTCCGTTTAAACATACACACAGAAATAAAATGAACCTACTCTACTGAACGTACAAACTCTATAGCAAGTTATAATATCTGATACTGACCAACCACAATAACTTACATTTCACATTTTGTAATGTTCACATCAACTGTTTGACCATAATAAACAACAGTTAATGTCTTCAGTCTGTTACTAAGATAGTCATTGCGAAAAAGACTTCAATTATTGCAAGAAATAGATAACCCTTTTTTTCTTTTTTGCTCTGACCAAACTTTCATAAAATCCACTACTCCTGAGTAATGATAAATAATCTTCCAGTGTTTTGGATTTATGATCCAGGTCAGCTCCGTCACTACAGCATTGTAGCACTTCATGCTCCTCATTAGACTACATTCAAATGAGGAGAGAACCAATGCTCGTGCACTGTTAATTCTTTTCCCAGCCAGCCATCAGCTCCATTCCTTGGCTTAGACTGTGTTCTGTTCCAGTAAGGGCGGATGTTCTTTAGGTTGTTGAGGTGGTTCGGTCCTCTGGTCCTGCTGCTGCTCAGGTGGAGGTGGCTGCTGCTGTAGTGGATCAGATTTGAGGCTTTCCTTCTGTGGGGGCTGTGGTGGTGTCGTTGGCTGTGGCTCTGGATTGGGCATCTCTTTCCTGTCGCTGGGCTGAATCTCCAGAGCTGGTGTGTCCTTGCAGCAGAAGTATTGCAGCCAGATTTTCCTGAAGGCCGTGCGGAACTTCTTAATACGGAAAGCGTAGATAATTGGGTTGACAGCAGAGTTGCCATGGGTGAGCAGGATGGCGATGTAGATGAGGACTATAGGCTTCTGGCACTCAGGGCAGAAGAGTGTGATGCAGTTGATGATGTGGAGGGGGAGCCAGCTGATCGCAAAGAGAAAAAGAACCAGAGCCAGCGATTTTGCAAGATTCAGCTCCTTGTCATAGTACTTGTTGGGGTCTGAGTGACTGGTGTTGAACTTCTTATTGTTAAGTTGCTTGTGGATCACGTAGAAGATCTCTGCATAGATGACCAGCATAAATAGCAGCGGCGGCAGCACCCATCCGAAAAAGTTGAAATAGACCATGTAGTCCATGCTGATGACATTTTCGAACTGGCAAGTGATAATGAGGTCAGAGCTGATGGAGCCGTTCTGCTGGAGACGCTTGAGGTTGTTCCAGCCTAACATGGGGGTGAGCCCCACGATGAAGGCCACCGTCCAGCATATCACCACTGCCAGCCCTGCTCGCCGACGGGTCACCACCCGCTTGTACCTGCAAACAACACAGTCTCATGTCAGCACTTTCTCTCACAGCGCTGTCAGGACTTGCATGGTTTCTTATTTGCTACATCTATTTTAGTGTATTCAGTGCCCTTGGGCTGACAAAAGGTGCGATGCACAAGGAGTTACTATTCAGACCACAAGTCCCTAGACACGTTACACACATTTCCTTGCAGCACATATTTCCACTTGAACAGGACAGTGCCTGCAAACCTTTATCAGTAGACCTTGTCCTTTGCAGCACCGCTGCTTTTCACACTTCTTTTGTTCAGGGAAGAACCAAAGTAGCCCATCGTTCTTACAATTGGCTTAATATGATCTAATAATTTATTACAGCAGTACAGTGGATACAAGCTGCAGGACTTCACAAGCTACAACCAGCTTTAACAGATATGGCTTTTTCATTGTTTCCAGTGTTTTATCAATGAGAGGCAGAAGGTAGAAGAAGGTAAAAGGTGCAGAGGCTGTAAAATCTTATTTATCACTGCTGTCCTATGACCAGGAAATGACACAGAGAGACTCAGACTGATACTTGCCTAGGGACAGGGAAACAGTTATCTGATCACACTCATGTAGAAAAGTGTGTAGAGCAACCGATGCTCCCGTTCGGATTACTAATGATTGATATTTACAACGTGTGGAGCCTAAAGCAAAACAAAACCCTGCAATTTTGCCCAGTGCCATCTCTTGGATTAGTATCGACCAGGGATTGTTGTGTTGAGCCAGGTCTGTGTCTGAAGCATGTAAAGATGATCATTATTCACACACTGAGCCTGGGAGCCGGTCTGTTCAGAAAAGATCAGATGCTAATCTAACAGCCGGGAGTGTGGGAGAAAAAAGAGAGAAAATTCTCCATCATAATAGAAGCTGTGGGACGGGAGTGGCAGTAACAAGTGAGTGGCAGCAACAACTCTTTAGTGACAGAATCGCTGATTTAAATAACACAAGGACTGTATATTTAGGATGTAGAAGTGTCTGAGGCAGACACCTTTTAGCTTGGATAGTTTTAAAAGAGTAAGCAGTAAAAAGCTAAAATTCCTGATACACTGCTATCCCCAAAAGACTTTGTGATATCTTCGAACGTTAATCTCCTGTCTAAGACAATAGTCTCAGACAATAAACTCCCCTCTTCTATAAGCTTATCTTTTCAGCCTTTCAGCACCACTGCTCAGACTTTTGTTTCAGCCTGGCATGATAAATCACTGGTGGCATAAAAAATAAGAGGGATTTTAAACATATTGGCAGCAAATCTGACCTTTTTTGTGCCCTCAAGAAACACAGAAAACATATATCTCCTGTATACAATCCCATTCTGTCACTGTGCTATACTCTGCCACACATATTAGCATAGTGGACAAATGAACGAATTTAAACTGTTGGTTGATCAGATAGGCTCTGTTTAGCTGTCATGTCAGCACTAAGTGAGTCAGAACTACATGCAAATAAAGGGACTGGCAGGATGGAGGCATCCTGTGAAGTGAAACAAGACCCATTAGGAAATACACGCACAGCTCTGGAGCTGTGGTTCCTTCTGCTGTGTGAGCCAATACAAACAGTGCCATCATCGATACCATTATCACCGTGACGTGTCCACGTGGCACAAATATAGAGAATAATGTGCCTTTCCTTATTGGGTTGTGAACCTCATTACCTGGTCGGGATCTTGACCCTGAGATAGCGGTCAATTGCAATAGCCAGTAGGGCCAGGATTGAACTTTGCGTCAGCACCAGCACCGTGCACGCGACAAGCAGGCAGCTGTAAAAGTGAGTTTGGAGTCCGATGCTGATGGTAATGGCCAAAGGAATGACCAGGGCTCCCACTGCAATATCCGCCAGAGCTAAGGAGACGATGAAACAAAACGTGTTGTCTCGCAACGATTTGTTAATTTTCACCGCCCAAACCACCATCACATTTCCGATTACAGACGCGACTGCAATCACCACCTCCATTCCTATGTAGAGCGACTGCGTTGATAGAAGTGCTCCGGGCATCCTTGCAGATGATTATGTCCTTGATAAGAACAAGATTGATTTCAGAGAAGCAGCCTCATGAGAAGCCAGCAGAGCAGTCCTTGATCTTTTGTGTCACTATAGTATTTTCCAAACGAGCTGTGCGTCCATCAGTTTCACGATACCCACATTCTCCTGGTTAAGAGATATAAAAAGCATCAACATAATCCCGTTATTTTGAAGGTAGAAGTGCGTTAACCAGCAGCATATCTAAACATGAGGGGTTTTCCGTTGGAGCAGGTGTTGTGGTCCGATGGCTGTTGTGCGTCGCTCCTGCTCTGTGCCCTGCGCATCCACTTGGCTGAATACACCTGCTCCTGGTGAGAGCAGCATCCTTCCCATGCACTTCGATTTATCCAAGAGGGTTCTTCATCTTCATTTTCATCGGTCAACGTGTTTAATTCAACAAAGCAGGTTTTAACAAGGCAAGCTGTCTTCTGGATGAAAGCGCGCACAGTTGCAGTTCCTCCGCAGGCGGGTCCCTTTATCTCTCCCCCTCACTGTAATCTCAGTAAGACCAATAATGCAGTTGCCGATTATACAGTAGCTGTGAGCTTTTTCTCGCCTTTTTTTTGTTCCATTCAGATGTGTTGTCTTTGTTTCTGTGAAGTCAATATTCATTTCCTTTGGCGGGTGGGACTGCTTCTTTTTCCATGCAGAAATAAATATATGCGCAGCCTTCTGCGGGACCGTCCCAACGATGTCAGGTAGTGCAGAGGTGATTTGAACTCACTCTCGTTTTCTAGAATATGCCATGCCCGCCTTCCCCCAACGCCCTTTCAAAGGCTAATGGGCCTTGCTCAGTGACCTACTGTTCTGATAAGAGGTGAGGCAGTCAACAGCCACAGCTGACATATAATAACACGGATATTGAAAATGGCAGAGATCATTTAATTCCCAAGTGACAAAAGACTGAGTAAATAATGGAATCACACAATATGAATCCCGCTGTTTTCCTCATTTGCCAACATAAACTTAATTTCCTCAGAGAAACATAAATCGGAACTACAAATAGATATTCAGGTCATTTTAAATATATTTGTGCGCTTCAGACTTCAAAGACCTCCGCTCTGAGCCTGAGGCCAGCCTCCAAACTGAATCTATAACAACAAGACTGGAAACGGTAAGACTGATTTAGATCTATTGATCAGCCTTAAAAGAATATTTCCTGCCTCTGACTTTGACCATTCAAAAGCAGGTTTCCAGTGACACAAAAACCCTTCCTGTCCTTTTCTTAGAAACACACGATATTCCCTGAGCAGCCAAGCATTCCGAAAATACAGGAGTGAACTACAGCACTGGCATCTTGTGCTCCCTCGCTGTGGTTTAAAGGTTTACAGCAGGCAGCTGCATGAGCTCTCTGACCATGGCAGGATCTCTATTTTCACATCAGTGCAGGAATGACAATGTATACTTGATCTGAAGGCCTAATATGGAAGAAAGCAGGATGGAAGTCTTGATTTCAGATGGCCGGTGAGTCCAAGTGATACAAAAACAATAAGGCAATACTGTGGTCAACGTACACACCCCCACAGTACGTGTGATGGCAGGACGGCCAACAGTCAGCAGTAGCTCCGTTGCTTCTATCTGTGATCAGCCTCACGGTCAGAGATATCAGCGTGGGGTATAGAGGTCAGCCAGCATACACTGATGAAGGAAGCAGCCATATGGTCTGTTGGCGTTAATTGGCACCAGACACTTCTTTCACTGACATTGTAACGAGCATAAGCGTGGTGGTAATGCATGAGAAATCAATATTTATACAGCAAAAGGTGTAAACTAACAAATTTGGGCTAATATGGTTGACAAGCCAGAGAGATTCTGAATGTTTTTTGTTGTTGTTGTTTTTTAAATAAGTTTCACCGTCAAGGTTTCCTTTTCTTCTACTTTTTCAATCAAGTGTCAATCAGTATACAAATTCCAATGTTATGTCAAGCCTAAGGTGAGAGTAGCAAAGGGATCCTGAAAGTGGCATACATTATTTAAGGCTGTTTCCTCATTGTGTTTTATCCTTTGAGGAGCTTAGAGACTCCGAGCAGGGAACACATGCTCAACATGGCAAGTAGAGACCTCATAATGCTGTGTTTGCTTGTTCACAGTCAGTGTTTTTTACTAAGGACATGCCTGCACCCTAATGACGTGTGAAATATATAAAATGTTCCCTGTATCACTAACAGACTTCCTTAAATAGAGTTTTCTCACTATCAACGCCTTTTCGGGGATGAGTTGGAATGAACAATCCTGAACAACTTTAAACAATTCTGCCATATCCACAGCGCTAGGTAATGAGGGAATGAATCAGATCAGAACTGTTTATTGCCATGTACACATACAAGGCATTTGGCTAGGTGATCGGTGCGTAACAGTGAACACAGTGCAATACTACAAAACATAATTAAAAAATAGAAAATATGAAAATGTACAATAAAATATTGTTAACAAACAAAGAGTATGTTAAAAAAGTATATGATTAAAGTGTCAAGTGTATATTAATAGAGAAAAGATGTGCAAGGGTATATCACTGTAAGAAATTGATGATGGCAGTGTAGAAGTGCACCATCATTGCATATGGCAGGTTGAATTTTTTCAGCTGCCTCAGGAAGTACATCCTCTGCTGAGCCTTCTTTGTGATGGAGCTGATGTTAAGCTCCCACTTGAGGTCCTGGGTTATGGTGGACTCCAGGAAGCTGAAGGATGCCACAGCATTGACGGGAGAGTCACACAGGGTGATAGGGCAGGTGAGACTGCGTTCTTGCGGAAATCCACAACCATCTGTTTTTAGAGCGTTGAGCTCTAGGTTGTTCAGACCGCACCAGGTCACCAGCTGGTCAATCGCTTACCTGTAGGCGGACTCATCCCCACCAGAGATGAGTCCAATGAGGGCAGTGGTGTCATCCGCAAACTTTAGGAGCTTGACGGACTGGTGACTGGAGGTGCATCTGTTTGTATATAGGGAGAAGAGCAGAGGGGAAAGAACGCAGCCTTGGGGGAAACCAGTGCTGATGGTCCAAGAGACAGAGACATGTTTCCCTAGCTTCACATGCTGCTTCCTGTCAGACAGGAAGTCTGTGATCCACTTGCAGGTGGAGTCGGGCACATGCAGCAGAGACGGGATGATGGTGTTGAAGGCAGAGCTGAAGTCCACAAACAGGATCCTGGCCTAAGTTCCTGAGGAGTCCAGATGCTGGAGGATGAAGTGGAGGGCCATGTTGACTGTGTCATCTACAGGCCTGTTGGCTATGTAGGCGAACTGCAGGGCGTCCAGGAGAGGGTCGGTGAGGGTTTTGAGGTGGGACAGGACAAGGCGCTCAAAATACTTCATAACCACAGAGGTCAGGGCAACGGGCCTGTAGTCATTAAGTCCTGTGATCCTTGATTTTTTTGGGGACAGGAATGATGGTGGAGGCCTTGCAGCAGGCTGGTACGTGGCATGTCTCCAGTGCGGTGTTGATGTTGTGTTTGTGAACACCGGAGACAGCTAATCAGCACAATGCTTCAGGGTGGAGGGAGAGACAGAGTCAGTAAAACTCTTTCAGCTTGTTGCCAGGCGCTGGTCATTCATGGAGAGAGGGGCTTTAGGCTTGTAGTTTGTTATCTGTCTGAGACCTCTCCAGACATAAGAAGAGTCACTTGCTGAGAGCTGGTAGTTTCTCAGAGTACTTTCATTTAGCGTCTCTCACCGCCTTGCTAAATCTGTATTTTGTCTCTTTAAACATGTCCCCACTCCTAAATGCCTGTTCCTTTTGCAACCGTAGCTGTTTAAGCTTAGCTGTGAACCGGAGTTTTTCATTGTTATAACTCACCCTGGTGCTTGTTGGAACACAGCGGTCTTCACAGAAGCTGATGTATGACGTCACAGCCTCTGTAGACTCATCCAGACTGTTGGTAGCAGTCCTGAAAACATCCCAGTCTGTACAGTCCAAGCACCCCCCAAAGATCCTCCCTAGCTTCACTGGTCCACTGCTTTGATTTCCTCACAACAGGCTTACAGAGCTTTCATTTCTGCCTGTATGAATCAGGTGGACCACGACGTGATCAGAGTGTCCCAGTGTAGCACGAGGGACGGCGTGATAGGCCCCACTTATTGTGACAGTGATCTAAAGCCTTCTCCGCTCTGGTTGAGCATTTATTAAACTGTCTGTATTTGGGGAGTTCATGGCTGAGTTTTCCTTTGTTGAAATCACCAAGGACAATAACTAAGGAGTCCGGGTTGGTCAGCTCCCCACAAGGTAGAGCGAACGTGTGACCAGTGAAGTGCAATGTGCTTCAGTTTTATGAGATTCTACAGTTCACTGCTCTTTTCTTGTCGGGTCACATCGCGTCTTCCTCTCCAGTGTCTTGTCGGCTGAACTGGGTTCAAAAACAATATTGCTCAGTCATTTAAAAAAAGCACCAGCCATGACCTGCAGTGGTGTTCCCAGCGGACTGCTGACCCAGACGGCAACAACATTATTAAAACTGACAAAAAGACTTGGGACCTCGGCCTACTAGCCAGGACTCCTTCCAGTAAAACAGTTTAGCCATTTAAAACAAGACTGGGGCCATTGAGGAACACAACTACAGTGTTATCACAAGGGACACTCCAGGAAAAATAAGACAAGATGGATAGCCTTGGCTTTGTCGCTCAAATGACCTTCAGTGAAAATCTCAGATAGGAGGCAATATAAAACATTTAAGCATTCACATGTATCCTCCTGGACAATGGAACAAGCACACAAACAGCCTCCAAAGTATCATAGCTGCTGGGAATGGACGTGGCCCCTTGTAATTTACCTGGAAATTCTCCAGAAAGTGGTGCATCACAGAGAAAAAAAGAAAAACAGATATTGGATTAGATGTAAGTACTAATTTCTTAGTACCGTAATTTCTATTTCTTTTCACACAAACAGCGATCAAGTCTGCTCATTTCCTCTACAATTAATATCAATATAAAATAAAGTTGATGTTGTTGAGATCAGCAAACAGCTGCAAACAACAGAGAGGTGAGATCATCTGCACGAGGCAGAATGTGTTGCTTCAGGATTAATAGATGTCATAGCATTGAACAGAGACTTCATACTGCACATCTGATTGCAGGACAAATGCATTTGTCACTATCTATGTGACCCAGATTTTGTGTTGTATTTCACAAAAATACACTGAAAGTGGTTTGAGTCCTGATTGTTAAGTTGTTGGAGGACATAATCTTCACAATCATTTTCTTCTTTAATCAGAGAAAACAACCTGTGGACATACTCGTTTTGGTGTAAGAGCTCTTCTCAGAGTTGCCAGCTGGCTGACCCACATCATTCTGCCTGCTCATCGCCCACAATGTGCGCGTGAAATTAACCACCGCACACTTGAAGCTTGAGCTGACAGGGTGAAAATTAAAAATGTCAACAGCTAGTCAAGCAGCTCACTGTGGTGTCACACACAAAGCAATCCTTGATCATAACTGGGATATTTTAAACGTGTGAGTCTTTCAATTTGGCCTGCTGATGAGGTTCTGGCAGGGCCAGAGTCAGGAATAGAGATTGTTGAAATTATTTAATTAATAATTTTAAATTCATTAAACCATTCAAACATGCATTATTTCTTCAAAGCAAAATAAGCCTTAATATTGGAAATTGGGAGCTGTTAAATCTGCCTCAGGTGATTAAAACCCCTAAATCTTCAGAAACAGTAACAAGGAGTTATTAAGTTAAAGAAGTGGTTCGACAATATGGGGAATGTGCTCATTTGTTTACTTCCTGATCATCTCTTGTTGTTTTTACACTTTGGTTTAGTACAGATTAAACAAACAAGATATAACATGCTAATTGTTGAGCTTTAGAGGGGCTGGTAAGGAGATTTTGTTGCCTTTGGACAGACCCAGGCTGGTTCTTTCTCTGTTTCCATTCTTTATGCTAAGCTAAGCTAACCAGCCGCTGGCTGTAGCTTCATTAACCGTCAAACATAAGAGCGGCATTGATCTTCCCCAGCAATAAAACAAATAAGCATATTTCCTAAATTGTCAACATATTCCTTTGACAATATCCTGTTCCTTAGATATATGTATGGAAAAGTTGGCTACCATGCAATATAATCATGTCTATATGCTTTCAGGTATACAGCTCTTAAGATTTTATATTCTCCTTTCAGTGGAGAAAGTTAGAGCATAATAGGGGATCCCCCATGTGTTTGTGTCTCTGTATGTGTATGAGTGTGTGTTTGTATGTGTGCTAAAATGTAAA